GAATGAATGAATGAATGGAGTGACGGTAGGATGCCTAGGTCCTTGCCGCCTGAAGAGATCCAATCTCACATGGCCAACCGCTCCGCTGCCGAGGCAGCAGCACGGATGGCAGCAGTCTCCCAGGCCTTGGTCTCAGCACGACGTGACAGCCAAAAGGCACGCAAAGCAATCCTACGCAGGCGGGCGCCTGCACTGGCGGCGCAGTTATCCGCCATCTCATTCCAGGTTTGCTGAACAGTGGGGTCCTCACCAGTCCAAGGGCTCCACCGGGCAGGGCGCTTGCGGTGGCTCGGCACCCAGTGGAAGGAGGTCGCCACACCATGGCTCAAAAGCTGCACACGCAAAGCACGAATGCTGCAGACTAAGCCCTGAAAAGCATGATCGAAGCCATCACTCGTGACAGCCCTGATGGCCGACTCGCAGTCACACAACAGGTGGATGTGTCGCAGTGCGGGCCGCCGAGCGCAGATTGCAAAGCTCAAAGCAGCCCACAAAGCATGCAGTTCCGCCTTGTACGAACACTGGTCCTCGCCCGGCAGAGCCAGCGCGTAGCTTTTCTGCAGCTGGGGAAACACAACGGCACAAGCACCGACCCCATGCGTGCCACCTTGGTTCGTGCCGTCAGTGGCTACGATCAAGGTTTCTTCGTCAAAGGAGAGCTCCTCGGCCAACTCTTGAACGTGCTCCAGAGAGTCAAAGCAAGGCGGTGGGGGAGGGACCTCTTCACCGGGCAGCGCAAACAGACGCTCAGCAGAGCGATGGCGCGGAGCCATGAGAGCGTGACGTAAGTCAGCAGTCTGGGGGCAGCACCAAGTCAAGTGTGCACGAGACGGGGTAGAAAGGCCGCAGAGGCAGCGCTGCTGGGGACGAGGGTAGCGAGGCTCAAAGTGCCAGAAGGAGCCGCCACTGGCAAGACAAGCGCGACGGAGAGCAGAGGTGTCAGCAGTGGCCCACACAGCGCAGTGGCCTTCAGCGCGAAGGAAGGAACCAGGCGGAGGGCCAGGCAAAACCAAACCAGTCGCCAAGCCCGAAGCCAGCCTGTGACGCGAGCGCGAAGTGCGGCCACACCGCGCCAGGGTGGCACGACGCAAAGGCAGGAGAAGCCACTCCTTGAGGACCTCCGGGCCGTCAAAACCAAGCCGGAAAGCGCGCGACCGACCGTGACTGTCTGTCCAAAAGAGAAAGTCGCCACGGGCCGAGACAGACCACCCAAGCCTGCGCAGGAGAGGCAGGACAGTAGGGAGGACTCTGTACCAGGGAGTCAAAGCCTCGGACAGAGGAAGCAGGTCCAACCACGCGCCTCTGGACAAGTGCATGCGCAAACCGGCAGTCAGGGTGGCCCAGTCAATGCAAAACTGCACATGAGTCAGCCATCCGCACACCTCGTGGTAAAGAACAGCAGGGCTCTCGTGGGTGAGGTTTTTCCCCAGAGTGCGCCTGACGCAGGCCTGCAGGTCCATGGCCTGCTCCGGAAGCAGCGTCGCAAAGCCAGCCGCCCAGAGGAACTGAGAGAAGCACAAGGCACGCAAAAGCAAGCACACACGAGTGGTGTGGGCAGCAAAGGCAGGGATGAAGCGCATGCGAGCCTTGAGCTTGGCAACACACAAGCGCGACAACGTCTTGGGCTGGTTCGCGTCAAGCGGGTGGTCCACCCCAAGGAGGGCCAGAGTCTCAGAACGTGGGAAGCCCAGCTCAGAAGCAAGACTGTCACAGTCACTGTGGCCGACAACCATGCTCTTGGACGCGTCACACTTGAACCCGAAAGCGTCGTCGAAGACACGACTCTTGACCGAGGCCTGCAGCAAGGGGTCAGTGCAGAGTGTCCCAGACGAAGGTGCAAGGAGCATCGTCCGGTCGTCTTGGTAAGCCAAAGTGCGGACACAAGGCGTGGCAACAAACCGCTGCCAGAAACTCATGATACACGCAGCGATGACAGGGGACGCAGGGCAGCCCTGAACCAGACCGCGAGGGGCGGAGATCCAGTGCTGCGAGCAACGGCCACGGTAGACCAAGAGGCGTCGCTGCCCAACGTAGAAGGAAGTCAGCAGGTTAAGCACGCTCCGCGGCATGCCAGCACGCAGCAAGACCAGCCTAGCCAAGTCAAAGCTCACCGTGTCAAAGTACTTGGACAGGTCCGTCTGGACCGCAACACGCGTGCCACTGCACAGGGCGCTGGTCACGACCCGATGGGCATCGGCAGCAGAACGACCTGGGAGGCCACCCACGTCGCCTTCAGTCATCCACGACAGGACCCAAGGCTTCAGAGCCCTGACCAAGAGACGGCACCCGCACCTCCAGACAACGTCCGTCAGGCCTATTGGCCGAAAGCCGCCCACCGGTTTGGGGACCAAAGCCACCAGACTGTCACGCCAAGCACCAGGGGTGCGGCCTTCAACCAGAACAGACTGCCAAAAGGTGGAGAGGGCCTCCCACCAAGCCCAAGGCAAGAGGAGCAGCGCGGAAGCTTGCAGACCACTAGGACCAGGGGCCTTGTGACTCATCTTGCGCATGGACCTCTGCAGCGCCGCAGGAGACAAGTCGGGGGCGAAGCCAGGCGACATGCCAGCAACCTGCACGGAGTCAAGCACGGAGTCGACACGGCAAGCACGGTCAGAGAGCAGAGGGTCACAGGACCACAGACTAGACCACCGGCGAGTCTCCTCTTCCAGAACAACCGACGGGTGCAAAGCGCGAGCTTGGGCAGTCAGAAGAGGCTCCTGCGACTGCTCACGAAGCAGGGACAAAGTGGACCGTTCACGAACCCAGGTGCACTGTTGAGAAAAGGAAGCACTAAGCCGCTGCTGCCACCGCGAAGTACGACGCTCCCTGAGCTCAGTCTCAGAATGCCAGATGGCATCCTCTAAGGCAACCGAGGCACGACGAGAGTCCAGGGCGTTGCCCACAAAGCAAGAGAGAACCGGGAAGTGAACCACGAGTTCCCGCACGTCACGCTGCACATGCCGCAGCAACTGAGGCGTAACCCCGGAGTGGGTGACTTGGCGAAGCCTGCGAAGGAGGCGCCGAGCTCTCCTCAGGTGAAGAGGCTCCGAAAACCTGGCAGCCTTGTGGCACACACGAGCCGCGGGGGTCGGGTTCCAAGGCAAGTGACGCGTGGAGCTGGAGCACGGCGTGCCAAACAGGGCGCTGTCAGCGTAGGAGCACAAGACCTTCCACCTTGCCTCAACGTCAGACGCCGCCGCAAAGGCAGTGACAAAACAGTCAACGTCAAAGTGCTCAGCGACAGCAGCAGCAGAGCTCAAAGCCAAAGTGGGCCTGGCACGGGGTGTCCAGAAGGAGCCCTCACGCAACGGAAGGTCATAGAAGACGGCACAGTGGTCAGCAAGACCATCCACAGTATGACCCTCCTGAACGTGTATGCCGGCGCTGCAAAGACCGAAGTCAATGACGCGCGTGCGGCCAGGTCCCGTGGGGGGCGGCTCACACCGGCGTACATCGTCCATGCAGTGACAAGCACCCGAGGCCACCGGCTCAGCGACAACGGGGTCAGAGGACTCAAACTGGTAGTCACCGAGGAACAAGAAGTCGAGCCCACTGGTGTAGGCTAAGCCGAGCAGGCCTTGGAGAGACTGCGCCGTGCCACCAGCGTCACCAGGAGTGCCGTAAAAGGAGGCCAACAAAAGCTTGTGAACGGCCGTGTCCGTCTTGACCTCGACAAAGCCAGCACAACACCGAGCGGACTCAGCAGGCAAAGCAACGTCACGCAGAGGAAAGGCCGACACAATGGCCGACCGAGCCAAGCCCTGAAGAGGAGTAGAGACGGCGGCGTAGTAACCCTGTCTCTTCCAAAACGCCAGAAAGCTGAGAGTGCTGGAACTGTTGAGATCCGCCTCCTGCAGACACAGAACATCGAAGTGGTGTGTCCGCATAAAGTCGCAGATGCTACCGGCATGGGTGCCACCGCCCTTGCCTACATTGCAGGTTGCAAACTTCACGAAGGCGTGAGTGGGAGTCCGTCCACGGCGCAGCGCGCATTCCGAATGATGTGCGAGAAGTCATCCTCGGAGAAACCGCTGTCGGTGCGGCGAGCCTCACACAGATCCAGAGCTCTGTGGCGTCGCTGCCGGATCTTCAGATCCTTCTTGTCGTTCCAGGGTGTGCACCGATGCAAAGCAACATCCCTCCGGGTGCACATGCAACGCAAGCAAGCACTGCACCGCCAGGCATGCACCACTTTCAGGCGCTGTCCGTAGGACCGTGGCCACAAGAAGGTCACGTAGCCAGGCGTAACCATCCGAGGGATGGCGCTGTTGAGGTTAAGCACGCGACGCCGCTGCCTGCGAAGTGGCTTCGTGTTGTGGCGTCTGTGAAGAGCGGAGTACCAGGCCTTGTCCGTGACGGTGGGGTGTGAGTGCGACCTGTGCCTCTTAACCTCTCTCACCCTGGTGTTCGCAGAAGCGGCAAGCCACTGTGTCACAGGAAAGCCCATTGCGCAGCATGGGCACCGCCAGCCAAAAGACTCGCCTTCTTCGGAAGCCGTGAGCACCAAAGCTCTCGCCGGAGGACGTCCAACCTGGCCTTCACCGTCGTGGTTAGCAGCGTTGTGCTTCCACCTTGCACTCGCAACCTCCTGAGGAAGGCCCGTGTGGGAGAAAACACAACCTGGGACCTCACACGTCCAAGTAACCTGCCGCCGAGCCAAGGGAGGGCGCCCACGCTTAGGCTTAGGAACCGAAGCACCAACACTAAAGGCATCGTCGTCGATGCCATCATTGCCGTGCTGCACAACCTGCACCTCGCCACGACAGTGAGCAGCTAAGGACTGCCAGGGAGAGCACTTGCCACGCAGGCGACGCCGAGGAGGGCAAACGGTAGACCGGTGCACAGAGCTCGAGACCCCACACGAGGAAGTGGCAGGAGACTTCAGGCTGCGAAGGTCCGCAGGAGTGGGCCACGAAGACTTGGGCTTGCCAGCGCAC